CCCATAGATTTTTGAGTGGCCAGTTTGCCTAAGTGATCCCTAACCCAATCCTTCTCAACCTGTGGAAGGACTGCCTCTAGCCTATTTACATCTCTTCCATTTGTGCCCTGCAGTTCATGGGGGGTCACCTTAGCAGTAAAGACAGAGGCAAAGAAGGCATTTAGTACCTCTGCCTTCTCGGCATCCTCCGTCACCAAGGCCCCTTCCCCATTCAGCAGTGGGGAGCTGGAGAGCAGCCCCACAGAGAGGGACCTTGGTGTCGTGGTGGATGACAAGATGACCATGAGACAGCAGTGTGCCCTGGTGGCCAAGAAGGCCAACGGGATCCTGGGGTGCATTACRAAGAGTGTGTCCAGCAGGTTGAGAGAGGGATCGTCCCCCAATACACAGCCCTGGTAAGGCCACATCTGGAGTACTGTGTCCAGTTCTGGGCTCCCCAGTACAAGAGGGATGTGGAGCTGCTGGAGAGAGTCCAGCGCAGGGCTACAAGGATGATCAGGGGCCTGGAACATCTGCTATATGAGCAAAGGCTGAGGGAGCTGGGCCTGTTCAGCCTGGAGAAGAGGAGGCTGAGAGGGGACCTGGTCAGTGTCTTTAAATACCTCAAGGGAGGCAGTGAGGAGGGGGGCCGGCCTCTTTTCAGTGGTGGACAGCAATAGAACTAGAGAAAATGACCAYAAACTGAGGCACCAAAAGTTCCACAGGAACTTAAGGAAACATTTCTTGACAGTGAAGGTGACAGASCCCTGGAACAGGCTGCCCAGAGAGGTTGTGGAGTCTCCTTCTCTGGAGATCTTTAAAACCCACTTGGATGCAGCCCTGTGCCATGTGCTCTAGGTAACYGTGCGTGTGCAGGGGGTTTGGACTAGATGACCTCTGGAGGTCCCTTCCAACCTTAAGCATTCTAGGATTCTCTGAAGACACAAATCCCTAAATTATTGTATTCAGTGAAACAAGATTTGTATGAAGCAGGAATTGCAGAATTCAGATCACTCTCCCAAGGTCCACCACGCTGCAGAATGAGGGAAAGGATATCCTAGACAGAGATAACTTCTGCTTTCATCCCTGCCAACTATTATGCCCAACTGATGAACTATAGTGACTGAGCATGAATTTAACACTTCAGTTTTTAAGACATAATTGAATGGCACAATGAAGGACCCAGATATTTATGTTATAGGATTTATTAGACTCACAGGAAAAAGAGGAATTTGAGTATGCAAAATGAAAGAATTAGGAAAAGAATCGCATACAGCAGTTCAGAATTTCAGTGATGTCTCATCATTAAAGCTAAAATAATGAGTTGTGCAAATAGAATGAAACGTTCTCATGCATGGACGTAACATAGTTTAACTGACATTTATATAGTGTTGGTAGTCCAAAGCACAGAACTAGAATATGCATTAAAAATCCACAGTGAGAAGCAGACTGTGTACCTTACATCTTGAAACCAGTGATTCTACTGAAGTAAAAATAGATGTGAGAGAAGGAAATAGTAAAATTATATGTTGAAGTATTCAAAAGTAATGGATATTATTAAAGACAGGTAATCAAGTCTGGAAGGAATAGTTACTTATGAAACACATACCAAAAGTATCCAAATTAAGAGGAGTTAAACAGCGTGATTGATTTTAATTGCTGAGCA